CTGTGCCTGTCTTCAGCCGACGTACCCCGGATGACAAGCAAGAAATTCGAATCGCTTATGAACCACCAGACAAGCGCATTGTTTACTAGAAACATTTCACGTCGCTGGTGCACGCTATCGCTGCCACAATTTATTCCAAGTACCTAAAATTCGACCTGAATTACGAAACGAGATAGATCAATTCACGATTGAAGAAACATAATGCGAAGAAACATAAACCAAGTTTGATTTTACAGGGAAAGGTTAGCATTAGGGACTGGTGTTGAGGAAAAAATTGGAAAGCAGACATTATTCTAGGAATATTATTTTAAACATAGCTCAAGAGCACGCAGGGTTCAGAATAGACAGAAATTGAGAGAAATCCCACTGAAAACAACGAATCCTAACCTACAAACGGATTCTTTCGACGGATTCTTCCATCGTCCATCCTAACTTCATCTCAAATTATCCTCATACCTAACTCTCTGTAACGACCAACGTTCTCACCCTAGATGGATTCCTACTTGAAGGAGGTTCGAGGACTTTCTCCTCGATCTCCCTTAACACTAGAAAGACTGAAACTTAGTACATACCTATATTGCCCAAAAGCAGTCAAAGTGACTGCATTGTGAAAGAATAACTAATATGTAAAGAAATTTATTTAAAATTAATTCTTAATATTTTTTTATATTATTTACAGTTATATAACAGGTTATTAGTAAATATTAACAATAAAAAAAATAATTTATGCATTATTATTCGTCCAAGAACTGGCTCTAAGCACTGCGTGCGGTCGTCTCTCGTTGATGCCCGCTCTCGATCGTCATGGAACGATCGAGAGCTATCGCGAACACAAAGTCGCCGTTATCAGATTCGCCACTATCAAATTCGCTGCTATCAAAGTCGCCGACCGTCGGGGTTCGGGTAACGGCGACGACTCTCTTACAATAATAAGAGTCATTTGATTATTTTAAATTTCCCAAGCAGTCAAAACGACTGCTTTTGGGCAATATAGGTATAACACATATATATATATATATATACCGGAAATGAAGGAGGGGAGAGGTAACTACAATTATAAATAAACGCATTTATATGTTGTACAAAAAATCACAAAATTCTAAGAAATTGTATTTGAAATTAAAAAGCAGTCAAAATGACTTACTTGGGCAATCTAGTGTTAAATAAAAGTTCCTATGCCACCTAAGTATCCTTGTCTAAGGCAGAGCCTGCTAGAGGATAGTATCCCCAACAGGGAGAGGATAAATTCTCGTATTGTAACCCTTTTGCACGTTTTGGTTCTGTTTATATGTATATTATTGTGTCTAGTTTCTGGCACATTAAAGGTATGTTAATTTGGAAAAAAGCCAGCTAGAAGAAAGCCTTACTGACGAGTCCACTAGCAGGCACGGGACGAAACGCACCCCTTCCTTTTCCTGTGATCCTTCTACCTGCTATCCATATCACAGCACAACGACAAGGAGATACCAACTGGCCAGCAACATAGGAACACCAGCCCATCAGTAGGAACCACGAGAGCAAGCAAGAAGGCATCGACATAATCATTTATATGATTGTTTTTTATTATATTATTCATATATAATATTTCATATATAATATTTTAATATATATTTCATTTATTATATGAAATATTATAATCATCCATATCTATAAACCCCCGTGGAGAGATTCCCATATCTCTAATTCCCCCTCTCACTATCGCCAATTTTCGAGACCCTATCAATTTTTCCATCGACACCACATTCTCCATCCCTCCGACCAGAAGTTGTCCCTAACCTAACCTAACCTAATCTATTCTCCCCGTACAAAGGCACCTCTCATGACCATTGCAAATTCATGCCGCGATCTCACCCCTTCGCGTCCTGTCAGTTCTAGATCGCCGGCTCGATGCTCGTACTCTAAAACGCCATTACGCAATATCGAGGTACTGAAACAGCGAAACGTGTGATCCAGCTTTCTCTTCCCTCTCCAGGCCAAAAGAGCGACGACGTTGATCGATACGATTTTCGCGTTTTCCCAAGCGAAGACGTCGACGGTAAAAGGGCAACGGATCTGCTCCATACACGAGGGACCCTAAAGAAGAAAACGTGTATCCGCGAAGCGTGCACAGCACCGTTGGTCCGCGAGTGAAATGTCAGCCCTCCCGTTCTCTTTGCAAATAGAGAACGGCCGGAGGGGGCAGGGGTTGGGAAGTTGGGCTGGATTCGCAAGGAGGATCGTAAGAAACCAGTTTTCGATCCGATATTTCCTGCAGACAATGGCTAACGCTGGAAGAAAACTCAATTGAAAGAGAAATCGGTAGGCCATTGGTAGCCGGGCACAGCTCGCGGATTTAAATTGTTCCCCGATAGCATTGTTGCCCGCCGCGAGACGAATTGCGAATATTGCTAAGCGACCTTTCCAATTTGTATCGTGACCTTTAGGCGGATGCCTACGGGGGAACGATACAGGCGCAGGATAGACGCGGAGGATCGGAATGGCGGACCTGGGCAACGACCGTAAGTTTCGGCAACGAGGGACGTTAGGTGAATCCAGAATTTGGATTTTTCTTTCTCTTTTTTTCGGAATGTCGGCAATTTCGGGAAGCAAATCCAAACGATTAGCGTACAGGGAAGTGTTGGAACCCGGATTCCAATATACAATACGGGTTCTAGCAACAAGGCTACGTTGGAAAAATACAAGTCGGCGGAGACGAAGAAACTAAAACTGAAACTGAAACTGACCTTTCGCAAATTTTCTGGGCGCTTATATGTTAGTTTCTGGCAGGGTGAAGATGACCATTAGCCCTTAGTGAGAGTAGGTACGAGTCAATTGTTTTTGGACTCTAAAATTGGTCTGCGTTTATTAGCCAGGACCTTCTAGTGACTAAGGGCCAACGAATCGTTAGTCATCCAACAGAAGAACCGTATTCAGTTGTACAGCAATTGGACTGACCATTAGCCCTTAGTGAGAGTAGGTACGAGTCAATTGTTTTTGGACTCTAAAATTGGTCTGCATTTATTAGCCAGGACCTTCTAGTGACTAAGGGCCAACGAATCGTTAGTCATCCAACAGAAGTAACCGTATTCAGTTGTACAGCAATTGGACGTATATATAATGTAAGTGAAATGTATACACTTTATGCGAATATATAAAGAAAAACGAGAGTCTTTATCACACCACTGTGGCTCACAATGCGTAAGCGATCTGCACTGTTTTGGGTTTGAGAGTGAGAGCAGCGAGAGACAGCAGGCCCCGAGGCCTATAAATGTTCCGAAATTTTGGGACAAAATTCTCTACAATGAATTGTAGAGAATCGTATACATCCATAGGTCATAAATTGTCAGATCCTTATAAGACGCCATGCAGACTAGCAGCTCAATTTTGTCTACAATTTTCGCAAAATAATCTTCACGGTAGTGAAAACAACCTATCAAATATCGTTTCAACGTGATGGTTCCCCATCCACATTTTGTACGGAATGTACGTGAATTTCTTAACAGGCAATTTCCTCAACGTTGAATAGGTCCTGGAGGACTAATCAGTTGGCCTCCTAGGTATCCTGATCTAACGCTTCTTCACTTCTAATGGGTGTCCCAAAATTCACGCAGGATTCGAATTTTGCGCCATTTCTACAATAAAGCCTTGTCAACGACGAAAGGAAGACTGCGTGATAGCTGACAGTTTAGGATTATTAAAACTGGAGTACTAGACGAAAGAACAACGCGTTTTTATTATTGAACAATATTTTCGAAATAACGAAGACTTATTTATTTTCTATTAAAATTATAAATTCCTGCGTGAATTTGTATAATTTGAAAATGATGCTACAATCGGTAGATATTATCTACAAAGTGTATAAGTATAGATCACGTGTATACGGGTGATAAATATTTCATACGACCTCAGGTGGAGCCAATGACAAATGTGAAATCGAAAAAAATAGGAAAAAGAAATTGAGCCACGAGAACATGTCTGTAATGACATTCCATCCTCGGTAAAGCGAGAGAAACTATGTTGGAAACACCGCCATACTCGGACGATTGGCAACAGTGACATCTAAATCCCCCATTAGCAGCAGCGTAGAACACACTGGTCTTTTTTCACCACTGCAACCGCGAAGCGTAAAATTGAATCAATCAATTACAACTTTCCTCGTTCCGTAATGAAACGCCAGGTACGCGAGCGATGCACAGCTCTTTTTTCCCCCGTTCGCTTTCATAACACCCATATCCACGCGGCGTTACCAAACAGCGCGAGAAACCGTAACAAAGGCATGCGAAAACGCGCCTTGCGAAACGTCGTCCTTACTAACAATACTTCTTCTTTCCTTAACGCGCCATAAAAAGAGAGAGAAAAAAAAAAGGAAAAATAGGACACTATGACATATCGCTGATGGAACTTGAGATATCAGGAAGATCGTCGGGTCACGAAAATCAAAAGGATTCAGAAGAATCAGAAATGGTCCCAAAATGGTCCCAAAACGACGTCAAAGTGACATCGAAATGGATCTAATAAGGTTTGAAAAGAACCTTCAAAAGGTTCTTAAACAGTTGCTAAATGGTACCTAAATAGTCCCAAAAACGATTCTTAAATAGTTTCTGAATAATTCCTAAATATTCTTAAAAAGATCCTGAAACGGTTTTCAAACGGTTCCCAAATAGTCCCAAAATGGTCCCAAAGCGACGTCAAAGTGACATCGAAATGGATCTAATAAGGTTTGAAAAGAATCTTCAAAAGGTTTTTAAACAGTTGCTAAATGGTACCTAAATAGTCCCAAAAACGATTCTTAAATAGTTTCTAAATAATTCCTAAATATTCTTAAAAAGATCCTGAAACGGTTTTCAAACGGTCCCCAAAATAGTCCCAAAATGGTCCCAAAGCGACGTCAAAGTGACATCGAAATGGATCTAATAAGGTTTGAAAAGAACCTTCAAAAGGTTCTTAAACAATTGCTAAATGTTACCTAAATGGTCCCAAAAACGATTCTTAAATAGTTTCTAAATAATTCCTAAATATTCTTAAAAAGATCCTGAAACGGTTTTCAAACGGTTCCCAAATAGTCCCAAAATGGTACAAAACGATGCTCGAGTACGCACGCGGCGAGATGAAAGAAAAGCGGAAGAACAAGTACAAAAAAAAAAAAAAAAGAAAATGAAACAAACCTTGCTTAATGACGATGCCAGGGGGCACTTGGACAATCGGTAGGGCAGCGTTGGAGGGGTTTACAGGGATGCTGGCAGGCGTTCCTGGCGGAGGCGATGCACTGGCGCTACCAACGGAACCAGGGTCGCTGAAGCCTTGGGTGCTGTTCTCCTCCGGCCCGTCGAAGAAGCTCAGATTGAACTCACTACCAGCGTCGAACGACACTTCCGGTGTAAGGGTGTCTGGCGCCGGGGCGCTACCCAGACCCGCGCTCAGCGACTGGTCGATTTTGAAAACGTCCATTGTACGAAGAGGAAATGGTGATAATGTTGGCGATCGCGCACCTCGGTACCAACTGCGGTCACCATTCGCGTACTCGCCTCGAGATTCGATACGCGCCCAATTCGCTGTTCATCACTTCTTTCTGCCGGGACCTACCTCCTCGCTTTCCTACCTGTCTCTACGATCCTCCTTCGCTTTCTCACGGATTTTCCTCGAGGATCGCTTGACGTTGCGAGGACACTCTTCCTGGATCCCTGTCTCTCCAAATGCTGTTGCTTCTCCCAAGTCGATACCTCCACTGACGATCCCTAAACGCGTATCCAGGTCTGTAAGACGATCTTCCTTGCACGACGAGCAAACGAAACACAGTAGCCAAACTCAGTCTTATTAAATCTTCACGAATAGGTCACCTAGCCACCGGATGTTCACTCATTTGCTAACGGCGGAACTGTTCGCGAAGCAACACATACACGACCTGGCCCCTGCGCTTTGCTGACGACTCCCAGACACCCAACAGAGAATCCTGAGTACCAACGACACCTTCTACCAATTCCTCGATATCGAACGACCGGGTTCAACAGGATCCTCGCGTGCTCCAGTCACTTGGCCGATCTTCTTGTTTCAGGAACCCGGGAATCACAAGCACATCCTGTTCTCTCAGGACCCGATCTACCAGGTAGAGTTGTTGAGACACTAGAGAATGAGGTTTTCGCGTGAAGATCGGCTAGTTTGGCGAAGAATAGAACTCACACGCACGGCCGAGGTCACTGGCCGTTACTTCTCAAGCAGATTCTCAATGAAGCTGTCCGCAGGCAACTGACGAACAATTTTGGCACGTCTACTGCTTGGCCAAGAGCGCGTTTTATCTGTTAATCTCTCGCCTTCAAAGCGCCTCCGAGCACATTAGGCTCCCGTTCATACGATTCTCGTTATTCTCCAGACACCGGCTGCCGGGGGCAATGCTTTTCGGTAGCCTTGGGCAGCCTATTATTCAATCTGATACGATTACGATGCTTTATTACGCTCGCCGTGACACGCTTCTATTTTCTCCCGATCCTTATCGACGCGCTGGGCTGGGACCGAGTCTCGTCACGGACAATTTTGGGTCCTGGTAGTTGGCTCAACGGTAGAGTTAGCCAACGTGTATCTTCTCTAGGAGTGTATCTCCTCCTTTCCAGCCTGTTAGTAACTTTTCCACTAGTTAGCAACGTGACAGGACGCAGCGACAGGCTAGCTCTCGGCTCTTGGACATGTCCGGGGATGAATGATCGGTAACGCGAATCAGTTCGGATCGAGAAGCAAATGCGAGAGTGAGAGAAGCTAGATGAATGAGACCATGTGGAGGAACTGGTACGTGTGATTTTCGGAACCGTGTTTATGATTTAGAGATGGAATTTTCGTGAGCGGGACCTTCCTTACCGACCGGAAGGGCTGACTCGAGGCGCTCGGAGCACCTGACCGCGGTTACGCGAACAAACGAGGAAGAAAAATCCGCACTTCACTGGCACCGTGTCACAACAGCTAGAGGAGACCCTTCTCGTTAGCTATCTCGCCTGAAGGCTGCGAAAATCCGTGGGTTCCCGATCTTCGAAGGGGTTCAGCATTGTTTGAGAAGCCGCACGGTATCGTCTTCGCGTTAGGGCATGTTCTCATCAACATCGTTATTCTTCTGGCTTCCCCGCGCTTCCCTCTCCGGCTTGCCGTTCGAAAACGAAGAAAAAAAAGGAAAGAATAAAGAAAATGCCAGGGTTCAACCCATTATTTTTTGCGTTGGTCGGGAACCTAGAGATCGGTCGTTGCTTTCGCTTTCCTTTTCCCTCTTTCCC